ATTTTTTGGTTAATCCTCCCCCGATAATATTTTATCATTGATCTTTTAGAGAGAGTGGGAGAGAGTGAAAGACAGAGAAACGTCATCTATTGGTTGCCTTCTGCACCTGCCTTGACCAGGGTCAGGGCGGGGGAGGAGCCTGCAACCAAAGTATGTGCCCTTGGCGGGAATTGAACCCAGGACCCTTTGGTGCGCAGGCTGATGCTCTATCCACTGAGCCAAACCGGCTAGGGTCCTTCCAACCACTTTATATATGTAGCTCATATAATCTTCATAAACCCTGACATAGGCGCTATTGTTCATTTCCACTTTACCCATGAGGAAACGAAGGGGCAGACTGTGTCACCGGCAATAGGAAGGAGGTTGCAGAGCCAAAACTGAACTATAAGAACTTTGTGGGCTGTTGAACCCTAGAATCACTTTGCACAGGCCCCGCCCACCCAGGACGAGGCGGGGACCCGGGAGGCCACGCCCCTGCCCTGAGCCCCGCCCCCAGGCCCCAGCAGCCTGCACTCACCGTAGACCACGAGCACATAGAGCGCCCTCGCGTGGCCGTGCTTGTTCGACGCCTCGCAAGTGTAGGTGCCATTATCTGCGGATACCAGGCCAGGCAGCGTAAGCGTCTCCCCGAACGCCTCGGCCCGCTCCGGCAAAGACTCATTCCCGCGGCTCCAGCGGATCTGATTTGGCCTGGACGAGGGTAAAGGACGGTGAGAGTAAGGGACGCAGGCGCCAGCATCCAATCCTGACTTCTCAGCAATCTATGGAGCATCGAGGAATAAGAGGGTCCCTACTCAGGCGTCTCGGGCCCGAGAGCTCACCTGGGGTTTCCCGCGACGGCACACGTCAGCACCAGCGTGTCTCCCTCCCTCACCACAGCCTGCGAGGCATGGATCCGGGCCGTGGGGGAGTCTGCAGGCAGAAGTGCGATGGGAGAGTGGCTGTCAGGGCCACCACGCGGGGTTGGAGCCCTCCCGGGGTCCAGCGGCTGGCGTGGGGACCGCCCCGCCCGCCGGCTCCCTGCCCCGGGCACTTACACTGCACATCCAGCACGTACTGCGTCTGCTTGATGTGCCCCGAGGGCAGCGCCTGGTTCTGCGCCTCGCAGATGACGATATCGCCGTCGTCCTTGCGGTCCACGCGGAACCTCACTGTGCTCGCCACGCTCCATACCTTGCCATTTTCCCGGCTGCTGCTCACACCTGCGGGCCGGACCGGTCATCTGCAGTCCAGGATTCCGGCTCCGCCCCCGAGGGCCCCCAGCCAATCCCAAAGCAGGCTATCTGCTAAGCCACGCCCCTAAGCCACAGGCCTCGCCTCCAGTCTTCCAAACGACGACCCTCCCCGAATCAAGCCCACAATCCCACGTTCCTCTGGGACCCTTCAGTCCACAGGCCGACGCTCTATCCACTGAGCCAAACCGGCCAGGGCTCATCTATCACTTTATTCAATAGCTGCATAGGGCGTGCGTGGCCCATGTCCGCCTGACCTGTGCGCTCTCCTCCAAGCCTCGCCCCCACACCCGCCTTTCATAAGACCCGCCTCTTGCAACCCCGCCTCCTCCGAGCCCCGCCCCTCGCTGGCACCTCCCCCACCCCTCGAACCCCTTTCGGTAATACCTTTCAGCTCTTTGCGGTCGCGGTACCAGCGCAGAACGGCAACCGGACGGGACCGCGGGACCAGGCAGCTGAGCTCCACCTCGCCGCCCTCCACCGCCTGCTCCCGGACTTCCACCACGGGATTCTCCGGGGCCACTGTCGCAGGGAGAAGTGGGCACGGGGGGAGGTCAGGGGAGACAGCCAGGTGGGTTCAGAGTGACCAGGCAGCGGGATTTCAGGCAACAAGGGTCAAACCTAGAGCCCAGAGGTCAGGCAGGCCAGCCATGAGGCCCGGGCCCAGGTGCCCGGGAGGTTGAGAACAGCCCGGGTAGGGCCGCAGGAGAAGGGAAAGGCAAAGGAGAAGGGAGGAGGGACGGGCTGCAGGAGGGAGAGGTGGTTACCCAGGACAGTGAGCGTGGCAATCTGGTGGTGGGTGTCCTCCGTGTAGAGCTGGCAGAAATAGCCTCCCTCGTCTTCCAGGCGGGCGTCTGAGAGCCGGATCCGCACCCTGCGAGGGGAGAACTCCTCAAGCTGGAAACGCTCATCCTTCAGGGCTAGAGTGAGTGAACCAGGAGTGAACTTGGGGAATCCTGGCCTCAGGAGTTGGACCCTTCCTCCAGGAGCTTAGCGACCAGCCCTCTGCCTCCTCTCTCCAGCCATAGCTATGTACCTAAGGTGCCCACCTAGTCATCCCCTGGGGCACCAGAATGATTCCGGACCTCCCACCCACAGGAGTAGGGTTCAGTCCCCCAGCTCCATGCTATGGGAGGACCCAGGAGCCCGAGCCCCCAGCCCCTTCCTCCCTCAGACCCAGGAGTCCAGAGTCTCAGCTCTGCCAGCTTTCCGGTCACAGGAATTAGCTCCCAGCCCTCCTCCTTCCAGACTCAGGGTTGGGGACCCAGCACTCACCGCGGGTGCCATTGAAGAAGAGGGTCTGCCGGGCTGGGTTCTGAATGACAACGATGGACCCATCGTACTGGTGCAGACGGCAGGTTATCTCGGCCACCCCGCCCTCGGCCACGGTCACATTCTCCGTCTGTACTTCTTGTCCCGCCCCTGGACAGGAGAGGAGACTCACTGAGGGCTGCAATTCTCTCTCCCCTCTGCTCCTCTCCCATCCACACCTCCAATCCCTCTCCTTCCCCTCACATTCAGTTTATCGCATCCAACATTTCCTGCAGGCTGGGGTCCAAGAGATGGACTCTAGGGGGCGCTGCACAGGGCACACTGGGAGCCCAGAGGGCGGGGAGACCAAGACGCCGAGGGACTCTTCCCCAAAGTGGCCGGAGACGACCTCTGAATATGGTTTGCTATCACCTGACCCAGAAAAACCTCACAAAATCCTGCCAATCAAGAGGTTAAATCTTTTTGTTCACTTTAAGAATACTCGTGAAACTGCCCAGGTCATCAGGGGTATGCACATTCAAAAAGTAGCCCTGGCTGGTGTGGGTCAGTGGTTAGAGCAGCAGCCTGTGAATGGAAAGGTCATGGCTTTGATTCCTGATCAAGGGCATGTACCAGGGTTGCAGGGTGCATTCAGGAGGCAACCCTGTCCAGGTTGGGGTGCATTCAGGAGGCAACCAATCGATGTATTTCTCACAACGATGTTTCTCTGTCTCTCTTTCCCCCTCACTCCCTCTCCCTCCCTCCCTCCCTCTCTCTAGCTCTCTCTCTCTAAAAAAAAAAAAAATCAATGGGAAAAATATCCTCAGGTAAGGATTAAAAAAAAAAAAGCCACCAATATCTACAGAAGCAATGTGTGCCATTCCATCCTTACACTGGTGGGGTTGGTAGGTGTGCCCAGGCTAAAGAGTGGGGCTGGACTCAGGGTCAGTAGCACAAAAAGAGTGCTGAATTTTTAAAAAATATTTTTTTTTTATTTCAGAGAAGAAGGGAGAGGGAGAGAGAGAGAGAAACATCAATGATGAGAGAGAATCATTGAATGGTTGCCTCCTGCTCGCCCCGCACTGGAGATCGAGCCCACAGCCCAGGTATATGCCCTGACTGGGAATCAAACCTCGACCTCCTGGTTCATAGGTCGATGCTCAACCACTGAGCCACACTGGCTGGGCAAGAAGTGCTGATTTTTTGCTGTGCATGCTTGAAAATGCAGAGAACGCTGAACGTAGGGTTTAGATGTAGATTCTCTGGTCATTGAGCACATCCAGGTGAAAAGCTTCCAAGATGCAGTGCAGGACATGCAGAGCTCATGGGCAGATTAACCTGGAGATGGTTCTACTGAAGAAGAGCAGATAGTCCTAAACCAGAGAGGAAGTTGCATGAAGAAAAAGAGATTCGAGAAGAAACAAAAACGTATGGCCTGGGCGTAAACTCTCACATCAATGTTTCTCTCCCTCCCTCTTTCTTCTACTCTCAAAAAAAAATCAATAAAAACAATTTTTAAAATTGTTTTAAAAAGACTGCCTAGGGCGATGGGGGATTAGAGAAGGTTCTAGAAGAAAGCTCTATCAGATCCAGATCTCGAGTAAACAGGAGCTGACCAGGTGTGGGAGACTGCTAGGCGTTCACTGAACCCCGTCTTCCACACCTGGGCTCATGTTGTAGCTTGTCAGCAGGGATGGCCACAATACTCTTCCCTTCTCTCTACATGCCCTTTGTAAGGTGACTTTGCTGCTCCACCCATTGAGGCACTCAGACCCTGGGAATCTGGGCACTCCTTGTGACTTGCTCTGACCAACAG